TTGAAGAAGCAGAAGCACTGAATACAAATAAAGGTATAAGATACTGCAGAATACAAACACAAATATCAAGGTTCCTTAAAAAGGCAGAAAGTGAGAATAAATGAGGAAGTAAGTCTGTGAGTCAGTAAAGCATCTGCTCACACATACTAAGCCTGGAAGCAAAGATAAAGTAATACGATACAGGGAATAATACCATAATGAAGCTGAGTGTAATACTAGTACAAGCAGCTTCAAGTTCCTCTGGTTCACATAAAAATTTCTTAAGGTAACAGGCATATTTTTAAACTTATGTGATGTGTTGCAATGTTAAAATCTTGATATACTCTAACAACATAATATCCTACAAATTACATTCTTGTACTCAATAAGTGTTTTTCTTCCACACTTGCAGTATTGCTTTGCGTCTATCATGACTATGCCATGACATTTTATTAAACATAAACAGGAGTCAACCATAATTCGGTGGCCACATGGTGATGGAACACCATTTAATCCAACCATCCCTTTCTTTAACTCTCCTTTCAACGTAACACAAATGTCATGTGTTTCTACAGCATGGGAGAGAGAGATGATGTGTTCAGTTCTGCCTTGTTTGCATTGAATAAGGAACTAAATGTACCAGGAACTTGACATATCATGTTCCTGCAAATATTACTAAGTGTTTTTTTCCCTACGTTTGATAGTCTTTCATTGTTAACCTACCACAGTGGGTCAAACATGTGAAAAGAAGCTATATTTTTGTATTTTCCCTGCTTGATAACATCAGATGAACATGGGGTGTGTAATATCAAAAGTGACTGAACTGGGAAATAACTGTGTTAAATCATGGTAGGTCAAACAGATTCCAGTTATTAAGTGGACCATGCTATAACAAATGCTCTATTAAGTTATTTCTACTTCACTTTGACCTCACCTAATAATAGAACAAAATAAACAACACAACCAGCTGATCCCCTTATAAAAGATAAGCAAACACCAAGCTTGCAAATGTCACACTGACATGTGTGCAGTTGTGACTCACCAGTGCAACTAAGCTCACTATGCTTATGTTAAAGCTGACATTCTGCAGTGAATTCATCAAAAGCTGAGGATCCATCCAAGGGATTGTGAGTAACCAGGCAGAAACATACATTATCGGAGCTGAGAGAAAAGTGCTGATCACCATCCCAGAGGTTACCTGTAAGAAACATTAAAAAACTAAATCATACACGGTGAGTTGCAAAGGAAAAAAACAGCAGCATCTTAAGGGCAGAAGTTGGAAGATGCAACAACTCAACAACTCACAACTTCTAGCTCTGCGTTGTAATAGACAGCATAGATGGCCACGCTTGGTGCAGTGGGAAACACTCCATAAAGAAAGGCATAGTTGGAGAGGCTAGAGTGGTTCAAAGCACTGGTGTTGCTGTTGTCCAACAGATCCACCATGTCCTTACAAATCAGCGGCATCAGCAACCTGAAAGACAAATCAAAAGAGCATTTGTTTGAGGGGTTAGTTAACACTACGCTGAGAAGTGCAGTGCGACTAAAATATTTATGTACACTAGTTATTATCATGCTACGCACTCCTCCGACCTTTAACATGTCATCCGTTCTGTAAAAAGGCTTGTGGTCTGAGAAAGGCCTGAGTCACCCAAACCATCAGCACAAAACAACATGTTGGGAGCACTTTACAAAGCTCTAACCTGCTGACTCTCTACACTCCTGGAGCATCATTATAAAAGAGAGGTTGTCTGATAACACTAAATTATCTCTTGTATACAAAGAACAGGAGGTGAAGTCAGTAAAGGCGTTTTTTCACTCACAGTTTTGCTGTAATTAGTAATATCAGTGTCACGACTGTGGATCTGGTTAGTTTCCCCAGCTGGCCCACCATGGACAGACCCAGGTAGAACAGAGCGGCTCCCCCAAAAGAGTTTGCCAAACCGTCCACAAATTCAGCCATGAAGGGTGGAATCGTCTGGTGCAGGACAAAGTGGGCGATGATGCCGATGACGACCATGAACACAATAGGGTTCTTCAGGACCTGTAAAAACACAAGTCCCATGATCCGCAGTTTGCTCTGCTGGTTGTTTCCCTGATTCTTCCATTTTTGGATCTCACAGAAGGCAAAGCCGATGGGATTGAGAAGCATCAGGGACACAGGTGCAACCAGGTAGATGTACTGGAGGTACTCCGGGTATGTGCTCTGGTACAGGGCCTCAACTGTGAAGATGAACACAAATGGCTCAATATTAACAATAACACATTTAACTTACAGGGTCGCAGTTCAAATGCAGTGTATAGATCAAGAACAAAAACATCTGAGGCCTCATGTACGTATATAAAACCTGACACAAAGATGCAAATATATTAGTGTACGCTCTTTTTCATGTGGAAGAAACATTCAGGCACACGGCCGCTGGGTCATAGTGTTACCCAGGGTCAAAGTGCTAGTGTACAGCAAGTCTCACGTACGTTTACATTTAAAACCTTCTCTGTAAAACATGGTCTCTTGTGACTTTCCACACAAAGCAGAGAAATGTAACTATGAAAGTTTGAGGAAGTGGAAAAAATACAATAATAAATACTATAGCAGAAGTGAAAGCAAAACAAAAAGACACTTCTTGGAAATGTCACCACTGGCTGATCTAATGTGAGAAAAATATGGTTTAGAAGCATATAAATTCTGCTTCGCTGCAATAAAGAACAACTCTATTAGTTCGTCCACTCTGTTTGAAATTTGCATAATTGTCAATGGTTAAATCAGGCTTAAATCGGGTTGTTTATTAATCTGGAAACCAGCCTGAGAAGACTTATTAGAAGCCTGAGCGTCTGTAAGAGACACATGTAAACACGCCGTTAATGCACAGCAACAGTACTTTTATTCTTTGACAGTGGGGCCAGTTTATGCATGTCTACATTTAGACCACAGGTACCTGAGCATATGCCTGAGTGAAGACGTGTTTATATAGTATAAAATAATGAATCCCACTCAGAAATGATGACACTCTAGGTTTTTTATTTCATGAACGCAACGTTGGTTAAGGAGGGGCCCCTGAAAGCAGTCAGTTTACGGTGTTGCAAATGGATAATTATACTTTTGTTTGTTTGTCTGGATGGATGGGGAAACATCAGGACACACAGTGGGTGGGTAGGCTCACAGGCATTATACTCACCAATGGGATATCCCAAAGCAAAGTCGTTGCTTTGGGTGGCAAATATTGAGAAGAGCCCAGCCTTGCTATAGCGGCTCTCAGGCCTGGCAACTATGAGTGTGAGGACGCACACAATGACAAACACAGACACTTTGGCGATGAGGATGCTCCACAGAAATGGCCAGATGACATTACCAAAGTCCAACAGCACCATGTTCTTGAACAGCAGCGCTGGGAGGGCAAACTTGGACACAAAATTCCCCAATCCTTTAGCCTGGGTAGAGGTGATGATGTTTGTCCTCCCAGCGATGTACCCGCATAATATTATCCCAAAGCACTCCAGGAGCGCCGGGAAGAGCTTGTCAATGGACATACTGGACGAGAGAGCAGTGAGGTCCGGGTCTTCCTCCTCACTGTATGATAAGTTGAAGTTGGTGGTGGTTGTTACCGGAGCCTCCATCGCGCCGCCGGTCCTCCCTCCCGTGTCAGCTGTCATACCCGGTTTGAGTTCATGTTAAATGTCGTTACTGCCGCTGCTGCTCGGCTCCGACAGAGACACTAAACAGAGGAGATACAGTGAGAGGAGGAGCCGTTACAGCCGTTACAACCGTTACA